TGAGCACAGCAACAATAATTCTTAAAAAAATCTCGACAGCTCAAGTACCTTTTGTCATTTCTTAAATGCAAAAATATACTGCTTTTTGATGTTTTTCAGAAATCTATCATACATGGAAGAAGCTGCCAGTGGTTTCTATGACCCCTTTAAAAATCTCCTAGTCCCTATGTATTGGCGCCTATGCGACAAAAGATTTTAGACATGACCAACATTGGTTGCGGGAGCTTTAACAAGATCTAAACGATTTCATGAACATTGAACTGATTGAGCCATTGTTCTTGACGCGATTGCTCCTTAATCCTTTGTTCATGACGCCTGGCTTGTGTTCTCATTCTGTTGAGGTACTGGCTGGTACAAATGAAGACCAATTTGTTTCGTCTTGAAAGCCCTTTCAGTCAAATTATTATTTTACTAGCAAATTATTGTTACAATTCAGATTTTGCTGTCAACACAGCTAAGGCAACAATTTAAATGTATGTTCCTTGTTCATGTCTATTCGAAGTCATTAAGCACATTGTACCCTGAAAAGCAATTCTTTCTTTGGCTAACTATGAGCAACTGTGAAGGATAATAGATTAAAATAACAACAAGTAACTTTTTTGCTGTAAACAGAGAAGGAGCCTTTAAGCTAATATGTATTTCAGCTCAGTCAATTTTTTGATGTTTTAAGCTTTTATGATTTTGATGAGAAGAGAACTGGTCATCATGGGCGATCGAATATTTTGGTGATATAGTTGGAATAACATGAGCATTCTAATCATAAAAACATAAGTTTTCTTTGCATTTCAGGCTTAAATACATAAGTTAAACTGGCAATGAGTTTTAAAGTTATGTAGATTAAAACAATAAGATGCTCCATTCATTGAATGTGGACATCCCTCTTTTATTGAATAAGCCCGTGTAATCGTAATAGGCTGGTTAAAGGGCTTTTACTTTGCCTCCCCTTTTCGTTTGTTGTCTTTTCTACATGGTTTTACGATAATTCCTCTATCATCATCTCTCTCTCTTTTAACAATTTGTGTTGATGACATCGTGAGACTGGCTAACAGCTTCTTGAAGCAATTTTTGGTGTTTAGGAGGGTTACTTCATTCTTTGTCTATTATGTCGAGAAAGAACTTACGAAGTATTTGCTTAGTATATGTTGACAAAGCGACAAAGCAGCAGAGATTGAGCAGGATGAAAATTCTATCAAAATTGATAAACTTTCTTTATTAAATGTTAAGTATAAGATAACTAGCTTCTTGAATCACCCTGAACGGGAGATTTATCTTGTTGGTATTCAACGTAGTACGAGCGAGCAACGAGCTTCAAAGTCGTTGCAATTCTAATTGTTCTTTGTATGTCTCCTTAAAACTACTGATTTACACGATGCTTGGCCAACAAAATATCTACTATATGAAGTATATCCCTTGAAACATCACCTTTCAACATCGATATACTTGTTCGTAGCTCCTTAAATTTAATTTTTCAACATCCTGAACACCAGCTCATCAAACAGCTATTCTACGAAATATAAAGTTTTTTTTATAGGAACCCAACACCAACAGCACCAAAATACCGCCTACCGCGCCAAATTCAGATTCCTTGTTTCACCCTTGCCCTGCCACACTTAACGCCTCAAAATAATCTATCAATTCATAACTTCAGTTCTCAAACTGAAGAAAGGTACTGTTTGCAAGTATGGTTTATAGTACACGGTGCTGCATGCTCATACGTTGATAAGCATGAAGAACAGAGCTGTAAACTCTTGGTGTGTAGAACATGAGGGTCTTAAGTTGCGACTCAGAGTTTCACGATTAGTGCGATATTCAGGCGACTGTTTTCAAACTATATTCATTGGCCTATATCATATTGAGAAAGCAAAAAGGATAGGATCGAAAAGTCAAACAATCAAAGTTGTGGACAAGGCGCATGCCCAGGGCAATTGAGCTTGTTCGGACAATCTGTAGGATTGTTTCTATCTATACTCACCAGCCTGGTGTCCGAGAGCACATAACACCTGACTGTCCGAAATTCCAGGCAGCGAGTTGCTTTTTGACACTCAAAGGGACACATTGCAATCGAGAAAAGGCGGTTTCAGTATCATGTGTTGTTAAAATTGGCGGGTGTTTTGCGTAGGAAACAATCCTGCTCGTAAATTTTGTTTTCGTTTGGGTTTTTTCTGTATTTTAGCGCCACTCTTTTTAGATGCTTTCCGACAGAGGTCTTAGTTCCGTCAATTTCCTACATAAGCATAAAATAGAGGCGACCCACGCGACATGCTTTGTTACAGCATTAATGTCGCGTGCCACTGGTTGAAGGGCCTGCAGAGTCTTATCTTCAAAAGGAAATGTTTAATAATGACAACTGATAAGAGGCTGATGTCTCACACAAAAGCATGACATTTACTATCACAACCAAAAGCTGGAAACAGCCATCAATCTTTGTTATCAGAGACAATCAAACGAAACAAAGAAGAGCATCTTATTGGATCAAACAATTATTATAATAAGTCATTTTTGTAGGGGGTCCATATGATGGCCGGGTCATTCATCTACATTCATTCATTGATACAACGACATCAACTCCATTCACGTTACCTTTCCCTCGATGGTTTTTTTCGTCACATTTGATTGATCGCAAATTTCACTATTTCATGTGTTTGCCACAAACATTCTGAAATATCTTATCATAGCCATCGTGAAGATGGAAAATAATTTTGAAGTACCATTTCTTTAGCTAAAGACAAAATTGAGTAACAGGAGGTAGCAGAAACAATTTAACAAAATAGCTACCTAGATAAGTCATCTATTAATAAAACTGATTTGGTAGAACTTAATGGACATGAAAGAACACCACACTCTTTTTTTTTGAACAACATTTTATCTCAAAATCGAGGATTTTTAGCGATGTGTTGGTGCTTTTTCGGTAAATATTCAAACTTGTCATCAAATGAAGGTTATATCACTCACTTTCTTGGAAAGTGAGGCCCGAACACCTTCCTAGAGCGAAAAAGCTAGCAATTACACTGCCTACACCCTACCAACTTAAGAACAATTCAGCCTCAGATTTTCGAAAAAAATAAGAACAGTCAGCCTGAACTTAAATCTACTGGTTCTAATAAAAAGAGTGAAGTTTGAAAGTACTGAGAATAATTTGCAGAATTAAAGAAAGTCTCGTCTGTGATTCTAGTTTTCCTTTGATTTTTCTGTGCTTTAGAAAGAGCAGGCTATATTTGTCATACTGTACTCTGTTGTCTTCTTCACATTTTTCCCGACCAATTTTTCTTTAATGTTAGAGAATGAACAATGCTTGCTAATAGTAAAAAACAATATATATGCTATGGCAAATACTACATCCTTATTGAATAGAATTGAAATCCTAGCTTTAAACATTAGCTAACGTCAGGATTTTCATAATTCTTGCTTCGGTAGCTGACAACTCTTCTCCACATCAAGATCAAGTCAAGTAATGACGAAGCAACAACAGGTGGTTTCTTAACTTCCTTTTTGCACCCTACAAGAAAATGGGCAGGAAACCTAAACAAATGTGTACTGGTAGAAAAAAAGTCTGGGACGAGTTTAGTGACGTCAAAATCAAGAGTTAATGGCAAAACGTGTTTTTTAGGGACTGAGTGCTAGAATACGTCAAAGTACATTAATGAAGCATACAATAACACAACGAAAAAAGATAACAAAAGTAGCAATATCTTAGTTTATTATGTTTCTTAAACACGAATTATTTGAATATATTACTTTTATCTGGATAATGTTTTTATTTTTATATCGAAAGAAAAATAACAATGATACAGCTTCGGTAATACAGCCTTTTCTGAAACTAAACTAGGTCAGTTTGCCAATAAGGTGGGCTTGGTAAAGAGGTCATGAAATTTTATTTCCAGAAATTCTGAATTAGGCCCATACAGTTTGAAATAAACTGAAGAATATCTCTAAATATGCAATACAAGTATGATCTGTAACAAACTGGCTAGTGCATTTTCAATTGAATTACAATGATTTCAAAGAGTTGGAGCCAGTGCTCAAGATGATCAACTTATTTTAAACATTTCAATCATTTTTCATTGCGCGACTCTCCTATAATGCTGTCTTTAAGTATATGTTTAAATTCTAAAAAATCTTAAAACATATAGTTCTATCACATTATTTTTTGAAACTTTCAAGATCAACCTTATACATTTAATTAATGTTAATTAGGATAAGAGATGTTTTCGATCATGATCAGAAGCACCCGACCGATCTTATACATTTTAACATCAACAACATTAACGCCCTAGCATTCAGCATTACATATGCTTCTTAGGATCTATATAATGGCATTGAAAAAGCATTCATTTTTAGACGCACTTTAAGCTTTTCGTTTTACACTCCTAGAAGCATAAGACGTCAGCAACAGTGAAAGAAAATGTAAAGCTCGCACTAACCATCAAACCTTAAAAAGTTAATACTAATAGATTATTCATATCTATACGTCATGTCTACTGATGTCACTGAATTTCATTAGTACTTGATCGCTAAATTTATTATCTTTAGCATCATAAGCAATAAACTATATGCATAAGCTCGTTCACGTTCACGTAAACTAAACTCGTTCACGAATACTTAATTATTTTTTTACTTGCAACTGAGAATTATAGAAAATTACTACTGGAAGACTTTAGTGAGCTTTTTTAAAAGGCGAAGATCGAGTTTTATGGTTTACACGTCATGCATAGTCGATTTCTATCCACGTTTGGTAGCTTTGCTTTACGACTTTTCTTTTCTATCCACGTTTCAGTTCTTTTATCAATCTTACACCGTATTTCTTAAATACGCATAAGGTTGCTGTCTATCAAATAAGCAACATCGTACATATTTCCTAAATTACTAATTATCAGATGAAAACAATAAAGCCAAAACCTTCTACTTGGAATTACTATTGGCTAATATTGCTATTCATGAAGTTTTGTTGTGCTTAAACTAGAAAAAATGCTTTGTAATGAGACCTTTGATAGGAGATGCTGTTTTTTGAAAATATTTCTGAGACATTCAAATACTATTGGCACTTAATGATACTTAGGTATATTGCATTCTATAATTTGGTGACTTTAGAGTTTGGGAAATTAGTTGCGGCATGCAAAACTTTATTAATAGACACCTTTTTCAGGTACCTTTAAGCATTTTCTCTGGGATTATGGCAAATTCAAAGTCTTTACTAGAATGTTTCATGTCACGAGCGTGTCTTAGTAATTCTTCTGCAGTTTTCAAACAGGCGAGCTTTTTGTTTTTGAAACATGCCATACAAAAGTAGGGATACTTTGCACCATGTGCTGATTTATGGTGAAAGGCCTGCGTTTCAATATCTTTAAATCGCCCTTGGCACGCAGGCTCTTCTAGGCAAGGCAACGGATACTTCGCGTAATACTGTTCGAATAGATCTTCTTCTCTCTCGTAGTACTCTTGACATGCACAAGGACATTGCTTGTGGCTATTTCTGACGTGTTGAGCATGCATTGCATCATTGCAGAATACGTCACTAGGACAGAACTTGCAGAACTTCTGAGCCCGTAAGTGGTTTTCGAGTTCTTCCCGCGCAAAAAATCCATTCCCGCGTCTACTGCGTTCACACTGCGTGTTGTGACAAAGAAAGTTATGTGCAGTGTGGTCGTGCTCTTCGGCCTGAACTTTGCTGTTAAATATCAATCCACAGGAACGACAAAAATGGTTAAACAAATCAAAAAATGTGCATTTATGCCCATCAACAATCTCAATGTCAGTTTTGTTTGCTTTCAAGAGCGCTTTCAGTTCTGCACCTTTCTCCCCATCTCCACAGATCAAAAATATTTTAAATTTCGATTCTGGATGTGATTTTGGCGGTTTTGAAGTCGCTGCAGAGACCCTCGCATACAGGCTGACGATATAAGCCGTCATATCGATCCATTCTGCAGCCTCTGATTCTGTTAAGCTTTGATGGCACCTAAGCCAGCTGGTTTGTTTTGGTAACGCTGACTCAGGAGTTTTCTTAGAGAAGAAAATGTGCAATCGAACATTTTCAGGTGAAGAGGCAAAACTGGCATTTTCTAAGAAGTGCCTCCCTGTGGTCTCCCAAGTCATGAAGTATAATTTTATACGTCCGTTATTCTTCCCATTATCCTTTGCGGGCTTCGAATCTTGTTTTCTGACATGATGAGTCGCTTTACGTGATTTTTTCATGCTTTTGCTGTGTTGTTCTCCTTTGATTGACTTTGGTCCAGGCATTCTGAAAATTCAGAGAAAATCATTAGTTATTATGTAAATGCACTACCAATGCTTTCAAAAGTTACAGAAACATCTTAATCGTGTTAGCAATAAATACCAAACAGTGAAGACAGAAGCCTTTGGTAGTCGAAATAAGCAATGAAAACGTTGAATTTTTTAAAGCAAACATGAGCGACTGAAAATAAACACGAAATTTTTTATGCAGATAAATTAATACATTTAGTATTACTGATGCAAGATTAATCGAAAAAAAAATTGAGAAAAAAAATACAAATTAAGCATCACAGCGCAATGAACAAAATTAATTAATCGATGTAGAAAATTCGGGTTTTATACATTGATCTTTGCAAGCTATTTCAAGAAATTCTTATTTAGGTCATAGCTGATTGAAAATTATTGACTATGATAAATAATAGATGATAGTTTGTTTACTATTGACTACAATTTAATAACTGTTGTAAAGCGAAGCTCTTATTGAAACTTTCAATATTCTTAAAGCATTAACAAAAAGTTAAAAGGTGCACAGATATTTTTTGCATTCGTTCCTATGCAAGAAACAAAGCTAAGAGTCGTACTAATATTCTTTGTAACATATTTCTCATTCTTCTTAGTTGCAGAGTCAAAAATCCATTACGGCTCCCGGCTGTCAGCCAGAGGAAAGTTATCCAACGATTCTGTAGTTTTATGGAAGGCTAACAATGATATACAGTGATAGGTATTTAACGTTGTGCTTGAATTTATCTATTTTCCTGACAAGGCGTAAGGACCAAACAATAGCTGATTTTACTTAAATTCAATTTCTAAGAATCAGTTAGTTAACAAAGGAAAATATTGAAGAAGGCAAATAGAGTAAAATTTCATCCGGTGGAAGGTTGGGCATCTTCTGAACCCTGTTAATAGTACCCTTGATATTCAATCAATTTTCGAACCAACGTTTTTATTGATCATTCTTCCTTTATGGTAGATTATTCAAGCTGTCTAGTTAAGAGTTGTTGCGCTGTACAAACAAATTTTTGCTCCCCCCAAAAAAGACAAATGCACGATATATTCTATTCAAAATCTATGAGATCTTTTCAAGAGTGTATCAACAAATTTAAACGTAAAAAGGAAGAAATAACATACATCTATCTTTTTAGATTATACAGAGATCTTCAGCAACCAGTATTGGTCTTTTCCCACGCTATATCGATTCAAAGTATTCGCATCTTTTTACTGGTTTCTTGTCATAAATAGAGACAAATTATCAAAGACTAAAGCTTTGACTATATTATACGTTTGCAAGGTAAGATATTCAAAATAATTCCTCTGCATTATATTTTTAAAAGTACACTCGCCATCCAAGGATTCTGTTACACTAGTTCAAACAAAAGAAAAAAATTTTCTAGGCAAGATTAAACCTTATCAGCAGCTAAAAGATATAAAAATATGCATTCTGAGAATGTAAATTTTTTCCGCTTATAATTAATAGAGCGCTACTAATACCAAATTTACCTGCCAGCGTTATGATTTTGCTTTTGGTTTCATTTAAAGTCATCCTCCTCCTAAAAGCCTTCTACTGCATTCTGCCTCATCAAGTCACTTAATTTCGCACGCCCAGACTTTTAGTTTAATTCATTTCTGTTTGTGACGTATATTTGATTAACTTTGTCAGTCAATGTGTTGAAAGTTGGTATTTCTACTACAGTGTTGCTGTGATGCACCAAAGTGTTGTTTTTTATTGTGAATTCTGATATCGCAAATTTTTTGACAACAACACGTTTTCACGTCTACTTGTGTTTTTACTTGTACATAACAGCCAGTTGTGCAACAATCTCAGGTTCTTGAAATCTTTTTTGTAGATTCAATTTTTGACGAAATTTCAGATACATAATTTTGATTTTCAAAGATTTTACAGCCAATTCACATCACTTCGTAGAAAATGAATAATTCAATCTACACTAAAACATTATTTTCTGAAAAATTTAAATCGTTTGTTTGATACGCAGTTTAATAGTAGTAGAACGAACAACTAAGGCTCCATTGTGTCATTTTGATAATTCCCAACTTTTGAGCCTTTTTTGCTATAATAACAGCTAAACTTTATAGCAATATTACTTTTTAATGTGTCAAAAAACCTAAAATACATACCAACCTATAGATGTCTTGCAAATACGACAAATATGAAGATAGATATCAAGAAGTTCTGTTTCTCGGAAGCTGTTCGTCTTCAGGCCTCACCCTTTGCGTGTTGATGAAGAAAACAGTATTTCGTAATGACTTATTAACATAGTCCTTATGATATAAGCCACAGTTGTACCAAATCTACAAAAATACCAGCTTGTTTTCAATAAATAATGCAATTTAATTATTCATGCACTTATAAAAGTATCAATAGTGAGCGGTTCTTATTTAAATGTTTTAAGCATAAAATAAGGATTATATATAAATTTCTTTCTTTTCCGAACAATCCCCAGTGCAACAGCATAATCACTCTCCGCAAAACCCATCGCAGCACTGATATATTATGCAAGAAGTTGAAAAACGCCAATAGCCTCTCTAAAGCACATGCCTAATGTGGTAAAAGCACCCTCAAATTGGGATCATAACGAGAAGAGAATTATAACGATAGAATTCCAGGTTTTTTAGCAATAAGTCTGCGGTCTAGTGTCCTTGCTTGCCTCGGGGCTCTTTGACTGGTTCTTTTTACAAGGCTTGTTGGCAAGGCAGCTATGGAAATATGTTGGTATTATTCATTTAACTAGACTTGTGCCAATATTAAATAGAATAATTAAGTCAGTCTTTGGTACCGCAAAATTTGAAGATGTCACGATGCTTTATTTTCGTATCTCGAATCATCTTTAAATAATTGAAAAATGGCTAGATTTTTTCAGCAAAATTCGTTAGAGCTTGAGGAGGAACATGAAGCAAGTTAAATAATACTGAGCTTTCCATTAATTCGATAACAGGATTGATACTTTGACAAAATGTTTGTTCAACACTTTTTCAAAGTCTTTTAAAAAGTCAGATAGCGAGCACCCACCTGCAAGGCACTTTCTCTTTTAACTGTCTATAACTTTGAAAAATTTGCCCAAACTTCATAAAAATTGAACAATAACTTTGTGTTATCTACTTGGCAATAAGTAAAGCATTAATAAACAAAATTAACGATTAACTTCTTTAATACGTTCAGCATTATATATATTATAGCTTTTATATTTCCCTGTTAAAGTTATGAACGAAGTCGTTGCATGTTTCAAAAATCTATAAACTGGGTCGATTTATCTTTGAAACGAAATTCTTCTCCATGACTGGGGTAACGTTTGGCAAACATCTTGAAAAGATATAATCTCTACAAACGCCAAAGGAGTTCCTAAGGACCACTTATAAAACCAAATCAACACTCTTCCAAGAAGATTATATCTTCCCAGTTAGCGACACGTATTTCCTCCATCACTTTTGTCAAGTTTCACCAGTAAGAGCAGCTTTTAGCCAAAACATTAAGCTTTCGTCCATTAGAACCACTCTCCATTGCCATAAAGAGATACACGCCCTACTAGGTTTTTGGATGGACTTTGGTGATGAATATTGTGATAACATTGATTCTATCAGTTTTAAAGTTGCAAAGCACAGCACAGCCTCTTCGCAACTTTCACTCCTTTAAATTCTTTTTCGGCCGCGCTGGTCTCAATTTTTTTCTCGACTATATCGCATTTCTTATAAAGGTTGCAAAATAATGCAGGTAATGCAAATTTTAAATTTTACGGCTGCTTGCTCTGCTTCATGCAGCTCTCATTTTTGCACAAATCCTCACAGAAAATAATAATTTTTTTTCATTTAATTTTGATTTAATTTCACTTTCTCATTTACTTTGCGCAACTGAACATATCTCCAAAAAGTAATAGAAATTGTGTATACTGGGAGCCCGTCCTCTTTCAAATGACGCGGAGCCTGGAAATTTTAAGTATATTTTTCTGATATCTTGTCTTCGTGTTTTTTCTTTTCTTTTTTATACACTTTTGGCATGCTTTATGAGAAAGAGTTGCTTTGAAGAATTTTTTATGTGACAAGGTTGGAGCTTGAAAGGTTTTTTCATACAGCCATCCTATCGGTCACTTTCTTAGTCAAGTATTTCCAGGCACAAATTGATCTTGCACCTGCTGCAAAATTGTGTTTAAGCAAAAAGCTACAGGTATTGCCCTCCTCCGCAGCAAATTTCCCTCCTCCGATGTATTTGTGACATTTGATGCAGTGCATTAACAATTGAAAAGGAGACCAAACAGAAGAAATGAAATGAAAGTTTTACGAAAGCGACCTGCTACTGATTCAGATATTCTACAGCAGGGGTCGGCAACCCGCGGCCCCCGGGCCACATGCGGCCCGCAAGGTACTTTTGTGTGGCCCGGAAGGCCCCTGTTAACCTGTAAATATTTTGGCCCAATGCACGAGTGTCGGCTCGGATTCAGTGATCCTAGATTCTTGTCTAGATTAGCATTCCTCGTTGTCATTACTAGAAAACGTCACTCGAACAAGCTGAACAAGAAGCTTCAAGGCCATGGTCAATTTGTGAATGTCATGTATGAACATGTTGTCACGTTCCTGCTTACGCAACATCTTTGTAAAACTCAGCTGAATCAATACTTGGTTCACTTTCCATCTTCAAATGGAGTTGATCGAGCTGCGGGGTACCAGTGAATTGAAACAGAAATGCAAGGAAACTCCGTTGTATATGAAGTATCTCCATGGTGGATGATGGTTCATATCCAGGTCTGGTGCAGCATGCCAAGAAGATGTGTTGCATGTTTGGAAGTATTTACCTTTGCGAAAGTCTCTTCTCAAATATGAAGTATGCGAAGAGTCGACTGCGATCTCGAATGATTGATCAGCACCTTGAAGGCAACTTGCGGCTGCCAACATCAACAATTCTGCCAAATATTGAGAAGTTCGACAAGGACATGCAGCACCAACTTGCACATTAGCTTCTTGTAATATACTGACCAGTGAACATGTACTTCACATCTATGTTTGTTTTTACGTACAGCTTCCACGTTACAGAAAATTTACCGATAAATACAATTTTATTGATTAGATCAGCAGTTAGGTAGAATTGGTATATATTAAAATTATATATACTGTATTTTGAGTTGCGGCCCTGGTATGCATTGCAGAAATCATTTTTGGCCCCCTGTTTTATAAAGGTTGCCGACCCCTGTTCTACAGTAATAGTACAACTTGGGCCACCAGAACACAACTTCTCTGTCTATTGAGAACGGCCACTAAACGTACTCAGCAAAAAATCTTCAAGAGTTGCGAGTCAACCTTTCAATGCGTACACGAAAAATGTAAAATGTGTAAAATCTTATGCCCTGTAAAACTTTTATCCTAGAACAGAACTCGTGTAAAAACAGAAATGACTGGTGTCCATAACGAGCAAGTTTTTTTGTTGTTGTGGCAACACGATAGACTCGTTTTGGCGAAGCCTCTATCTCATCTGCATTGTTGTCAGATATTTGAACGGCGCAAAATCTGGACGGATTGATACGTTATCAAACAGAAATAAAGAGAGTGGATACTTAGTAAATAAACGGTTCGTAGCTATAAAATCGTTGTTTTTAGTGCAAACAAAGTTGCCTGTATGTTTTTGCAAGTTATTGCATCGCATACACTCTAGAAGACGGCTTTTGTTACAGACTTTTCTTTGATTTGGTAACAACAGAAGACTCGTAAAGTCACAAATAAAGGAAACAAGAAGTTGCAAAATCGAAGTGATATTTTGGCTCATTTAAGCAATTCAGACGTACTGGAACATATATTTGTCAAACCTAACGTATGATGTGCCTATTCAAAAGTGTATTTGAGTGTGCAGAAAGATAGGCTGGTCATGAATACTTGCTCATCTGAAGTGTTCCAGCATTTTACACGTCTGGCCTAGGCAGTGAAGTGTAGATCAAAACTTTGAACATGTGAAGCATTTGAAAAGTGGTTAGCCTGAAGATTTATTTAAGCATTAAAATGGCAAATGGCATGACTGCTGGGTGGAGGTTCACAAGTCCTATTCCAACTGACCCAGCATATGAGAAATCATATAGTTCAAGGTCAGGTAGGGCTGATTATAGACAGAGAGATAGACGAAGTCCAATTCCTTCTGACCCAATTTATTCAAATGATGATAGAAGCACCGATGTAGTGCCAAGGCCAAGAGTGAAAGCAGAAGCTTTAAATATTGCTAGGCTGCATCAAGGTGGAGCTCTTGCACAGATATTTAATCCTGCTTTTCGCATTATACCACTTGGAAGTCGCCCAAGTAAGTTATAGTTTATGGAGAATTGCTTTATATATATAAATATATATATGTCAATATAATTTCAGTTTCATTTTATTCCTTTCTTGCTTGTATTCCACCAGACCTTTTCCCATTTTCACATCAATATTTGTGTGCAATGTTCACATATAGAGAACAGATTATTAGAATTCTTGCAAAGAACAGGTTGGAAAACATACAAAATTTTGGCTATGGCTGTATGCAAATTGTTGAAATTTTGAGATATTTTCTGTAAGTCTGGTGAAAAACAGCCTTTGAGTTTGTGTTTGGTTTTTGTAATAAAATGCAAGCATTATTGGTCCTTGCCTGAAAAGACCTTCAATTGAGCACAGGGGCATAGCTAGCAGGGGGGGGGGATGTAAAAGGTGTAACACCCCCCAATGCTTCATGAATTTGTCAATCTTTAGTTTGTCTACAAAATTTAGTTTGTCAGTAAAATCATCTATCAGTACGTAAAATGGCACCTGAATTCTTCTCCATCTATGTCTTCGTCTGTAAATTTTATATTGATGACCCTCCACCCCCCTAGTCTGGAAGGTCAAGCGACGACCTTTGATGCACTTCAAAGTAGCCATAGAGAGTGCTTTGTTGATCCCCATTGAAAAGCATAAGATATTTGGAAAAATTTACATGCCTTTTAAAGATCACTTTCTTATTTCATAATCACTTAAAATAACCCTTTCAGTATCATTACTAATTTCATCATAATGTATGGCCTAGTTTGCCAAAACCAGGAAGCACTCACACTTAGTGAGAACAAGTATTGCACAGGCTGAAACAGAAATGGCCACACCATAGCAAAAAATATTAGCCAACCAAAATTCAATTGGCTATAGCAAGTTTCATAAAAGTTATAAGGTGACTTTTTAACTGGAGTATGTTCGAGAATTGATCAAGGTTTGATTGTGAGAATAGTAAATGCAATAATTTTCTTGATTTTTGCATATTTCTAAACAATATCAACATTTGCAAAATCACAAAAATCGATCCATGATGATTGAAGTACCAGTGAACATTTGCAATCTTTGCACCACTTTGCGATATCTTATTACAATGAACTTGGAGGTACTTACTTTATGCTTGGGTGTCTAGAACTACTAATTTTCCTCACTTTTGTTGGAGAATATGCCAAATGTTTTGGTCGGAAATTTTTGAAGCTGCAGTTGGCCTAATCGCAGGGCCGCTTCGTAATATGTTGCAGCAAAATTCCATCAATAAAATGTGTCACAAATCATAAAGTCTATCTTTTCCAACTGATTACGATTTTGTAAAGGTAACAAATAATGCTGAAAATTACATAGAACAGCATGTCATCCTCTCATTAAGTGAAAATTCAAATTAATTCCCACGATAAACAGGCTCACTCGAGTGCTTCAATAGCTGTAAAAGAGTGGACATAATAAAATGGCTTAAAATATGCCACTTTCCAGCAAATACAAGACCATTTATGATCAACTTGGTACTTCAACACCTCAATGTGATCTTGCAATTGTTTTTCTGAACTTATCATGTTGCAATTAACAGTACCTGTTACTAAACTTTTCGAAAAAGTTTTAGCAAGGGTTTCAAAGCTGGGAGACTGTCCAATAAAAAGTTAAAATTTTTTATTTTTTAAAAAGTGATTTTTTTAAATTTTTAAATCAAAAGTGTTGTCATTGGTTTGAAGTTTGGTTTGATTAGATTTCAATCATAAAAAGACGCCAAATGTCTTCACAAAAGTGGTTTGAATTTCAATCGCTTTGTTGTTGACAATGAGGTTGCCATTGGTGTAGTGCTATAATCAGGACAAGAGACTCTCCTGCAAAATGTTGCAAAAAGCAAAAGCGATGTAAAAATTGGGCTACTTTTTGCCATTAACAAGGGAGCTAGTACTTAACAAATCTTATAGTGATACAGAAAGAGTTATCCAATCTACACATATTTTGGGTGATTATTATTTATTCCATAATCTGGTGCTTTTTGGTTTCCATTTTGAATTTCCCATTTAACACTCCTGCCAAGGATGCTCTCAAAAAATTTTGTTCTAGAGGTGTGAAATAGAGCGCTATGAGCTTCTTAGAAGCTTGTTTTATGGAATATGTTCAATTTGTTTAAAAAAGGCCTACATTATATTAGCATCTAATTTGTTGAGGTGTGAGCAGAGTAACACGAGGCTTTAATTGTGATGCTTACTCTTCTTGTAACTGTGAATAAATTCAAGTTTTCTGTCTAGGGAGAAGAATATGATATTGACAATTTGTGCATTCTTGCCTCTAGAATTTGGATTAGTAAATTCCACTTATTTAGGCAATGTGCAAGAAATATCACCCCTAGCTTTAAATGTCAAAGAATTAAATTTTGCAGAATCTAGTCTCAATAATGAAATTAAAAAGATTGTTTCTTTATGTTGAATTACTTAGCTCTATGATAAATGATGCATCTTATTTTTTGTTAATAATCAGCCATCTCTACAACAGGAAATTTGGAGCAGATTTTGCCAAGTAATTTACTTTGATTTTAGAGAAATTTGGAATCATCTACTTTGATTTTAATGATTTCTTTTGGTATATATATATAGTACTAAATGTCTAAAAATTTTGTACTTTTAAGTAATTTTACATACTTTTAATTTTTAGCATGTTTTCAGTCTGACTCTTCAGCTGTAAATGCTTAATTTTATAAAGTCAGGAAATATGCTATAAAAATTGAGCTTGACTGTAAACCTTTTGTGAATTCAAATTACTCTAATGATCTTGTTTTGGAAAATATTGTTTGAACACTGATAACAAACTTCGTATATTTCTTTCCAGAAACTCAAGATACAAAAGATTTTGGCAAAGAAAATTATCACAAAATCAAAGAGATTCAACGAGCTAATAAACAGAGGCAAAAAGAATCAGCAAGAGGCGAGCCAGTCAAGGCTGTTTATAAACCAGGAAAATTTGAACATGTAGAGTCAAAAGTTGCTGAGAAAATACAAGTTAGTGGAATTGTTTTCATATATTGTCAGCATCTCCATTGATTTTTTTTCCTCAGAGTCCATTCATTTGCATATAACCAAGATGACATAAGATAACTATGATGAAATTAGAAACCAAGTTCTCTTCTGTTAGCTTGATATAGCACTATCTTTGAAGTCAAATATACTTTGATTTGCAAAACGTTTCTACCTCTTGAGTCGGTTTTTGTTTTCACTGAACAAAAACCATGAAACCATAACACTGAAGCATGAACTTATTTTGTTTTCATTTTTAAACTTATAACCAAGGCTCATTATGACATAAATATTACAGCCAAAAGTTTACTCTGCTCTCATCACTTGCGCAAACACCCAAGCATTTGATTGCTGGTGCAAAACAGTAGATTGTGAGGGATAAATGTTTTATCAATTAAGACAACTCCAATCATATTTTGTGACTCAAGCAAGTGACGTATATGATACAAAGCTGGTATATCAAAATACAGGAAACATAAAGAAATAAAGTATCCAATTCATCAAGAATGTTTAAGAATACTATAGGCACTTAGTATTTGAACTACGTTAGCCCTTCATTAGGGACATCATCTAGGCATTTAAAGTGTTTTTAAAAAAGGTTTGGAACAACATTTTGCAATTATCCGGCAATAACATCTTTATGACCTAGGTGCACAGAAGTACCTTAAAACAAGATCATGTGATTTTTTTTAAATATTACAGAGACGCTTTTAGCACTGTTGATTATTATTATCCTTTTTGAAGTGATTGCTCATGCAAGAGAATTCATGCAAGTGCTCCGCCACTCGTGCTCAGTCACTCTTATGGGCTATTTGTTACAAAAAGTGAGCTGAAAAGAAGAAAGGATATTAGCAGTGCTTTAAACATTTGGTTTCCTCCAAAGTCAAACATCTTGGAGAGTCCTTATCAGAAAGTTAACCTTTTAAGAAAGAAAGAAAGAAAGAAAGAAAGAAAGAAAGAAAGAAAGAAAGAAAGAAAGAAAGAAAGAAAGAAAGAAAGAAAGAAAGAAAGAAAGAAAGAAAGAAAGAAAGAAAGAAAGAAA